AGACACTGAGCTGAGGGATGGTTAAGAGACCTGTTGTGTCCACTCCCCACTGGAGACTAAAACCAGCAGGACATGAGGGGCCAGTGTATTTATTCCTCCTGTAAACACAGAGCCCAATTACAGCTCATTAACATTTATTAATGGTGATCATTTGAGATGCTATTAACTGCTTTTAAAATCTTTAGTCACTAGTTTCACAAGGCATAAAAGTCAGAAACATCCCTGGCTGGTGAAAGCCCAGTGAGCCCCAGAGGGTCTCAGTACCTCCCACTAACGGGGGTCAAAGCGTGGCTGCTCTGAGCGGCTCAGAACAGCCATTCTTCTCTCCGCCCCCAAAACATCCATCCATCAGCCTAAGTCAATAAGCCATGAATTATTGAGCGCCTAGGCTGCAGATCATGAATATGTATGTGCGTGCTCAGAAGACAAGATTGTAAAACAAATGGGCTCCACAGTGGCTTATAGGAACCCCACACACGGCTCCAAGGAAATGGCCAGAATTATTCTACTGGGGTGTATGGTTCAAGCGAGATTTTAGCACACAAGAGGTAGTGGAAAAATTGGTTTTTCTGGAGGATATTTTACTTCTGTTTTCCCAAGCGTATTCATATGGAATAACGTGCGGAATGAAACACAGCTGGCTTCTCTGCAGAAGCCAAAGGACAGGCTTCTCTGAGGCCACAGTTATGGCTGTTAATGCCTGAGAGCTGTGTTGCAGAGGAGGACGGTATGTTATTATTTTTCCTTCCATCCCTCCCTTCGGCGCACTCCCCTCAAGGTCGCCAACTCCAACAAACATTCCCAAACTTCTTGGCCCCGTTTTTAAACAGTCTCCAAATAAAGGGGCCCAAATAACCCCCAAAACAGAAGCTTCTGATTTCCAGCCCACTTGACAAAATTCCTACACCTGAGCCCAGGTGTGTTCAGGTCACCTGCCTTCCCAGTCCAGGCACCCTGCCCGGCCTGTGTCTGGCCTGCTGGGGCTGGGGCAGCGCCTAGCCAGTGTCAGTGCCACCACCAGCTGTCATTTGGCACGCTAAACATCACACCCAACAAGCTAATGGCAAAGCTCACAGCCCGAATCACCTCTGGTTAGGGTGCCTCAGTCTGATCACAGCATTCAAAAAATAGTGCCTAGCAACCCTTTTACCAGACCATGAGCTCTACCTGGGGACTTTGCCCCAGTAGCATCATCATCTTCAGATATGTAATGAGTCCCCAAAATATACAGGAATGTGTCAAGCAACAGAAATCAGGGCTAACTGGCTGACCCACACACTGACAGGTACACATTCTAGAAGAAAGAAATCCAGGACCCTCACACCAACTCCCTGAGTCAGGGATGGTCGCAGGAGGGAGCGGGTCCTTGAAGACAGAGACAGAGTAAGACCTGACAAGAGAAGAGCCCAGAAGGGGGCGTTCCAAGCAAAGGACAAGGACCAAGTGCAGGGACACCCTAAGCCAGACTGAGGCCGGCCTGCAGGGGGCCTGGGCCAAGCAGTGAGACCCAGCCGAGGTTTTCAAGAAGGGGTTATGTGTTTAGACATCTGTCTAGAAAACTCACTCCACCAGTTACAGGTCAGCGGACCTGAAGAAGGAAGAGGCAGCAACGAGAACCTTTAGCAAAACTAACCTGAGTGGAGGTATGTGGAGATGATGACCAGACATGACACTGTTGGGGTTAGAAATAAGAAGGCTCAGACTCAAGAATCGCATGAAAAAAGCCGGGCACCATGTGAGGGGAGAGCACAGAGAGCCAACTCTGTGGGGGAGCAGTCAGGCCCAGTGGATTTTCAGGCCACCTGTGCAGGGTCTAAGTAACTTCTAAATCACCTCTATTAACATGGCACCATTTTTTAATATGACTTTAATTTATATTCAAAATGTATCCTTTCCTAAGTGTGCCAAATAGGTTTCCAATCTCCTCTCCCAAATCCTAGAGAGCAAGAGTATTCTGGAATTCAAACCTTTTTGTATTTAGGAAAGCAATATGAACAGTCACACATCTGCCATAGCAACAAAGCAGGACCGGGGCAGCATCCTAAAGCCAAACATAGACAAATACTAACACAAGCGGGATTCAAACAAGTAGCCTCAAGACAGTTCAGGCAGGGGTTCATCATCAGATGAGTTCAGCAAAGGTTAGAGCATACTGTCATATGAATTATTTTTTTAAAGAAGTGTTTTTAGGGTTTTTTGAATTGTTGAAACATAGACAAGGGATTGTGAACCTGTATATTCACACCACAGAAAACTATGCAGTCCTTGAAAAGAAATCAGCTGTGCCTTTGTACTAACACAGAAGTGTAAGAGGCTGCCCATGGCGTTGCATGAAGAAAGCACAGAGCAGAGCGACTCGACTCGCAGGGTAGGATTATCACACACACCTGTGCGGAGGTACAGTGGAGACAATCCTCACCTGTCCCCAGCCACCACGGAGTACCCATAGCTCTTGGTTATGACTTCACCTCTGATTAAGAAATGCTGTGGGAATACTGTTTGTGTGTGTTGGTTGTAACGTGGGAAAATGCTGAAGTATGAATTTATTTAAATTATTTGTGAGACAGAGAAGAGCAAGGTCACTCTTGCACACTGGGTGGCCAGTGACTGCATTGTTATGCAAGAACTGGGGGCTGAGATGGTAACAAAGGAAATGGCCTTGGGGTACTGACTAAGGCTCCTCTGTCAAAGCAAGGACACAGAAGGTGAAAAAGAGCTAGTAGCCCCTGAAGTAGACCAGAGACTGCAGGGATCCCTCCCCAAATCAAAGGAGGGGAGGGATACAAACTGTAGGATGTGACTGTTCCCTCCAGAAACACCCAATTCTCAGCTTCTTTCCTCCATCCCGCCACCCACGAAAGCTCTTCTTTAATCAGCCACTTGGGAAGCCAAGAGCCATAAGAGAAGTTGTTCACTCTCCCTACCCCCTTTCTCTGCTTCCTTCCCAGACCTCTTCATTCTAAAAGATAAAAACACAAACAAAAGAAGATAGCGAGAAGGGAGAAAAGTAAATTAGGGGGGGAAATATTTTCCCTAGTCACTAAATAGCCCTGGGAGAAACTCTCTGCCCTGGATAAAAGTTAAGGAATTTTAATTCGGGACCAGAAATTCAAATCTTATATAGTAACGTTCATTTTGCATTTTACATTTTCAGGATGGGCTCTGTCTACGGCCATACCACCCTGAACGCGCCCGATCTCGTCAAGATGGGCTCTTTTTTTTTTCCAGAACAAGTAGTATTAATAATGTCATGATTTTTTAAATATAGTGTTTTAATTTGGATATAACTCAGAACATTAGTTAATATATGTAAGATGCTACTGCATAGTCTATGAACTACTGTCTGGGGATGTGCCAAGTGCCAGAATCCTGCTTGGTACTGTAACAAACACCCTTCCTTCCATGTCTGTTTGTTCAACCTCCTACATCTATGGTACTGGGCAAGGCACTGGGAATACCAGAGTGAATTAAACAGGAATGAGCCTTATTCCCATGAAGCATAGCACCACGGAGACAGACATAAACAAGTGACACACATTTCATGATTCAGTTCCACGGTGGTGAATGCTAGAAAGGAGGAGTATAGAGACCCTTGCCGAGAGCTCTCCGAGGTGGCTTGCATCCTCAGTTATGGCTAAAGCGTTATCACTGATATTTGAAACAGATGGCATATAACATAAAATATTCTGAACAAACAATAATTACAGTTATCATTATTATAATAATGACTTGGGAAATTATTTTATATCAACCCATCAATGAGGGAAAGCATGAGGAGGGAAGTGGACGCAGACAAGAGCCTGTATGGATAACCACGACCTTGGGGTCTGTATCCTCCATGAGGAAAACCCCTCTGTCCAGAGGCCTGGAGACCTTCAATATAAACACCTGCCCCATCTCCTCAACAGTTAAGATACTAAAGAAGGGCAACCTGTCTGTATTTTCCAAAAATATGCTCCACATTTTTCAGGACAGATTTAATTTCAAAGACTTGGTGCCTTTGAGCCCATAACCACCAAAGTAACCTGGAAACCTTAATGTTTTAATATTTGAACCATATCCAAGATTACTTCTGGAAACGAGAAGTAACACAAAAATCCTAGCCAGCCAAGTATCTTGTTCACCTTGGAAATATTGCCACTATGCTCAAAAGGCACTGGATGATAAAAGATAAACATCTTCCCCAAGACCAGCTGCTCTAAACTAGAGACGCCATCAGCATCTACTTCGGGGCTTCACAGTTGCCCATGGAGATGCAACTTCTGGATGTAGGAAGCGGGTGTTCATCAGAACAACACATGAAAAGCTCTTCTTTGTTTCTCTTCCCACCAGGGCTGGCAATTCCAATAACTTGACAAAGATTCTCTGAAAGCAACCCTGTGCCTCTTAACTTAGTGAAGAAAAAAACAAACTCCTTAAAATTAGAATTTGAGGTCCCTGGGTGTCTCCTGACAGCTCACAATAAGGTGTTATCAGTTGATCTATTACATGAAACAACAGCATCACAAGGAATTCAGTGAGGTACTAATGAGAGAGCAAGTCTCTGAATGGACCTTAACTTGACTTCCCTTTAACCTCTGTTGTCATAAAACTTAAATTGTTATAATAAAAAATTATGTTCTATTACAAAGATGGCAAATCCATGGCATTTGGCTACCACTGTCTTCACTTTCATGGTCAACCTCACCATCTCCTGGCAGACATGGCTCAGTGGACAGCTTCACAGACAGTTCCCAGTAGCCACTAGCATGCACAAGAATCAGCCTGTCAGCCAGCCCTCGTTTAGACCACCTGACTGGACATTCACAATGAAATATTCCGTGGCAACAAATGGATTCCATCAGACTTCAAGTGTTAGAGTTAAGACCTATGTTTGAGGCTGTTAAGAGAATATGGATGGAATGAGAAGAAAAATAAAGCTAAGGTCACAGCTGAATGGACCACATGTTTACCCTCCTCAATTGTACTACAGATGAAGATCACACTAGCCCATCACTGACCTTATGGAGAGCAGGAGCCAGGACTGGTACCAAGAATCCATTGTAGATGTAATTGACAAGCTGATTACGAATCAAGGGATGAGCCACCTAAGAGAGTAATAGGACCCATAAAAAAAAAAAGTACGACGATTTCACTCTTTGGCTCTTCTTAAAATCAAACATTTCTGTGTATTTGGCCATTTATTTCAGGGATAAAAGACAATTCAGACTTCACTGCTATGTAATTTTTTCAGGTGTCTTACTCCAATATAAACAGCTTGGGCTTTCAAATAAAGAAAAAGTGGGTAATTTTAAGCCTCTATTTGGAAAAAAAAAAAAACAAATAATAAACAGATTGGATATGTGCAAGGACTCCTAAGTGAAAATTAACAAATTGGAAAGTATAATTTTTGCCCCATAACTTTGTCTATGTCACATTCTCATCTTGCAGCTGACTTTTTACAAAAGAATATAACTGTCAAAATAGACTACTCATTTTGCTAGCAGAAAGAATTTTCTCATTTTGAAGATTCATGTTCTATAATAATCACTTTTATTGGGGAGGAAGGCATTTACAAAATTTTTTGTTAAAAAAACAGATACCATAAAAAAAAAAAAACAGAAGACATTATTAGAGGCAGAACACTTCTCACACTTTATTTTTAAAATATATTTATACTGTGGATAACCCTTTACTAATATCTTTTGTAAGTAATTTTTCTAGTGCTATCTCCAAACAAAAAATCTTAAAAGTATATGGCCTCAATTTCAAGAGAGTATGAAATATATCATTTCTCTGTCCTTAACATGCAGTTGGCTCTACTTCTCTTTCTTTAAAAAAATAAATAAATAAAATCAGACAATAAAGTAAAAAGCAATTTCTAGGGAAGTGAGGCAAGATCTTTAAATTACTGATAATCTCTCTCTGTGTGTACATTTGGGGAGGAACTAATAGTTTCATCTTTTTTATTTCCACACACTTCTGCAAGAAAATGTTGATAGGCCATAATATTAAAGGAAAAAAATAACTTAAGATGTAATTCATTCATCTTATATATAAATAAAACTTCCTCTGATTTAGCAATAAAAATGAGATGAGAACTAAAGTAATTTACTTGCATTTTCTTCCAGAAGCTGTTTCTTTATTTGGTAGATAAACAAATTATAACTAACATTTTTCACCTTACAATCACCATAAAGAAAATTTGATTTCTTAATAAATCCAATATTAAGGCAATTTTATGCTATAAGAAATAAAACATTTTTGATGAAAACCCACTACACCCTTAAATATATATAAAATCTGATTTTTATTGAAAACGGTAACGAGAAATCTGAAGGTAAAAATCTAATCAAGAAGCAAATATACTAGAGTTCAGTGCCTGTTTTTTCCTGAAGCAGGCCAATTTCAAAGCAAATTTAATTTGTGTTGCTAAGAAGATGCTTAACTTCCTCCAAATTCAATTGGGATAACAATATTCTTTATGTTGTATGCACCATTAAGCAAAATAAAGTGTTTTCCTTTGTAGACTTCCAAGAAGACCTTGAAGTAAAAGTGGTATAATCTGAAGTACTTAGAAGCCTAAAAATATCTATTTAATGAGTCAGGCATTGAACTTATTTTTGATGGTTAAGTGGATAATCAAAACAGAATTAACACTTTTTATAAGGAAGATAAAATCTACTAATTTTTTTCTCAATCGAAACTTCCAGAAACCTATAAACTAACCATTTTATTCATGCAAGGACATTCAGTATATTTAAAGCATCAACGTTCCATAAATGCTGATCAAAACTAAAAGAAGGACTGTTTGGACGAAACCCTGCCCCATGGTTGCACTCAGCGGGGACCATTACAAAGGGCTCCTTTATCGTGCTCCGGTACCTGGATCACCGCATTGCAAAACTCCAGGGAGTTCATGAACTGGACGAGGGCAGGGAGGAGCAGCCAGTCGTCTTTCAGAAGGCAGTGCCATTCCTCACCTTTCTCTTCCAGCTTTGTAGGCAGGGAAGAGTAGAGACCGCTGAGCCCAGTGGCGAGTACCTGCAACGAGAAATAAAAACGTCATGAACTATCTTGTGAAGTTCTTCACCTGGTGAAGGCCGGTGCCGCTGTTCCGAGGCCTGCGCTTCGGGCAGTCAGGGGTTAAAGGCACTGCACAACGCAGCTGGAGGCAGATGGGAGGGCAACTCAGGCAGAGGGCAAGAGGGCTCCAGAGGTATTTGGTTGACACATGTATATTTGACAGGGCCTGCTTGGGGCTCCGTGTCAGGCCTCCGCTGGGCTGGGGGTGTGGGGAGCAAGGGAGACACGTGCAAAGATGAAAGAAACATGATTTCTATCCCCAGAAGGTTCGGGAGAGGAGGAAGCTCCCATACTATGTTGAGTACCAGCGCTGAGAAGGCACAAACCCGCCGTCCTTCTCAGGCAGTCCTGGACGGAGGGCGCCAAGACAGAGGGTCTCACAGGCAGGAACCACAAGGAGCTTTATGAGAAAAGTTGAAGGTCATGACTGACAAGTTCAAGTTTACCATTTAGAAAGCACTTTCTTGGATATTCTCTCAACTGCTCTTCACAAACGACAGCAAGGAGAAAGAACTAGGGGTCATGGGTCAAGCGGAGGTGATAACAATTCAAACAGCTCTACCCCAAAGTATCAGTAGTAGGAAGAGGTAGGAATAAATTGGGGTATAACCCCCAGGGTGGCACCTATGACTCCAGCATGACGCCGAAGCTCCTGGGTTGGACTTGCTCCCTCAGACCAATGTTCCTACAATGAAACTGACAGCTCCTAGTTCTGAAGGTAAAGAACTCAAACCGTCCAGCTACCCAGCTTAGGTCATTAAGAAAGGGGCGATATTTTAATAGAGGCAGAAATGTTGAAGAACACATTTTGCTGAGTGCCTGTTGATTTTTAACTTGGAGATAGATATAAGACAAAGGAAAGCGGATTTCACAGCACACCCAACAGGGAAGTGGGGCTGGCCGGGGGCACCCCTGAGCTGGGATGTGGCAGGCGTAGGAGGCATGGAACACAGTAGAAACAGGGAAGTTATCTGTAAAGGCGTCGCTCTGGCGTGAATCCTGAGCTGTTGAGGTTACTCAGACATGAGGTAAACATTCAAGAAAACATTCAATTCTGAGTTAGGTCCAGAAAACAAATGGCTAAGTTTTACTGATTTCACCATCGAATAAGAGACAAAGAGGCAATTATAACAGTGTTATAAATGCTCAGAATCCATCATGGGAAACACAGGCTGTAATGAATGTACAAAAGGACTTTAACGCACGCTTGTCAGACCGGGAGAAGGGATGTTCTCAAAAGAACTAATGTCAAAGGTGCCAAAGAATAAAGAGCAGGTGGCCAGGAAGAGTCCTGAAAGGAGGCGCGTTCCAAGCAGAGGAAACAGCATGTATGAAAGCTAGGAGGACTGAGAAAAGATGGCATCTTCTTGGAACTATGAGAAACACAGTGACACCAGAGTGCCGAGTCAGAGGTGGAGAGAGCCTAGGCAGGCTCCAGCAGGAGGCAGGTCCTGCCAGGCAGTGGAGGCCAGGATAGAGAGCTGGGGTGCCTCCAAGCAGAGAGCCAGGAGATGGATCTGTGTGAGGGGTCTGATGCTTAGGGGAGGATCTGGGCAAGAGAAAGACACGTGGACCCATTCGTATGAAGTTGGCACCTCAAGCCATACAGAACAGAGATCTAGAGATGAGATATGACAAATTAACCCATAGAGCCAAACATCGGAAACCAAGGCAGGAACGACACTGAACAAAAAAAATAATCTCCAGGTTCACATCCTTCCCCTTGACCTGTTCCCACAGCACCTGCTGTTTCCCTCAGTGGCAATCAACTTTCTCACACAGAGAACTCTAGGGCCAATCTTCTCCATCTGCCTGGTGTGACCTACTCACTCCAGCCCTCACTGGGGGTGTGGATGACTTGTCGAGTCAGGTATGCTGAGTTTCGGGTGCTAGCAGCTACACCCACGAGCAGCACACCCAACACCACGACAGAGCCCAGGCTGGAGGGTGAACCGTGAGCTCTGAGTACAGAGAAAGCCGAGGGAGGCACGCGGGAGTGGGGTTGTTAATACGGTAGGAATCCGCCATGGGGTGTGATGGCAGGGAGACAAACGGAGGAGCTGTTTCAGTGCTGGAGAAATCAAAGGACTACATTTCTCTGTTCTGGTTCCTAGTGGTCTTTATTCACCCACTCACTCAGTTAAAACACACAGACACACACACACACACACACACACACAATTACTGGGCACCTAGGTACTACGGTAAGCCCAGGAAATACAAGAGTAGACAAGACTGTGCATTCACCTCTTTTTCAAAATCAGGGTATTTGTGGTCCCAAAGGAGAATGTCCCCTATTGAAAGCCTTTAACAACTTGTCAGCATACCCCAAACAAATCATTTTAATTCCAGCTTTGAATATGACCCGAGCGAGTTGCCTGTTATAAATTAGAAACCTCTGGCAAGAGAGAACAGAGACCAAAAGTTCTCCTTGAAGGGAAATCTAATCTTGATGCCACATTTTTAAAATCAATTATATTTGCTAACTCATGCTAAATTAACCACAGAACAAAAGCCTTAATTCTGCACACTCTCAATTCCTTAACCACTCGGAGGCTTTGAAGATGAATTCATAAAGACAGGCTTAATTTGTCTGACTAAAAAGCTGGGAATAAGTATTCAGTATATCAATATAATTACAGCAACATTAATTTTCAAATTACATACATCAGTGACAGTAATTAAAAATAACACATACCTAATATCCAGTTTTTTAAGAGCATTGTGAGAAAGGGGTGGCTGAGACGGGAACAGGGCCTGCCTTACAGGGCCCTGCGGCCCGCAGCCCACAGCCGGGCGGAGCCCAGGCCTGCGCGGCCACTAGACAGTGGCGCTGGGGGATGTCTCCAGAATTCAGAACAGGAGAGCTATGGGGGGGAACAAGGAACATGACACCATCTTAACAACAAGATTCCAACGCTTTACTGCTTAATATTTATATGCCCCCTTCCATGGCTTCTGCTCAGAGCTCAGATTCTTCACCGAGGCCACATCTATGTCTAGGACAGACTAGCCAGGCACTATGTAAGGCTGGTACAGAAGCAAGCACAGCAACAAGTCAGGCCAGGGGGATTGGAGGAGACAGCAAAGAAACTGACACAGCTGACCCTCGAGCAACACAGAGTGAGCTGTGGGAGATACTCACTTTCGGGTTTATTCCTACCTGCAGTCCCTGTATTTACCGATTGAACTAACCACAGTTGTAGGTGGCTGAATCCGTGGGTGTGGAGCCCACAGGTCCAGCCAACTATAAAGGGATTTTCAACTGCGCGCGTGGTCTCCCTCATCGTACCAGGGTCAACTACAAAAGTAGGGAAGGTGACTGTAACACTAAGGGGGCCAGAGGGTGATGTTAGAATAGGACAGGCGAAAAGCAGAGGCAACAACAGGTTAGTAGAAAACTTTTCCAGGTTCAAGATTTGAATGGCACGATATATTAGCTTCAAAATTTCTTTAATTTAAAAATTTAGAAACCAGATAGACATACAACCGCTAATTCAAAATGAAATGAAGGCCTCCCTGGTGGCGCAAGGGGTTAAGCACCGCACTATGAAGCAATCTGCTGCCTCTGCAGCACAAGTTCGATTCCTGGCCAGCCAGGGAGCAACCCACATCGTGCAGCAGACCTCTGCTGACTCGCCCGCTGCTCCCCTCAGCAGTGTACTTTGGTCAATCTGCCTGTTCTGTTTCCCACTGTCTCTGGTGAATCCTCTCACTCCCCACAAGCCTGTACCCCAGCTCTTGTATGCATAAATAAATAAATCTTTAAAAAAAATGAAATTCAGGTCCATGATTTTAGTTTTCACTGATTATGACACCAAAAAAATCATAAAACACTATATTTTTCCCAAGTATTAACCCAATATTTTTGATTTATCTTCCCTTAAGAATGTCCTTAAGTGTATATAGATATTATGTTTCCTACCTGAAACTAAAAGAGTGCTGTATGTCAATTATATCAAAATTTAAAAAAAAGTATCCTTAAAAGAAACTTAATCACCATATGAAGCTGTAAGGACAACAGACAACTTAATAAGCAAACGCCTTGCCTGACAGCAGCATGGCATGGTCAGTGCTGACACTATGACTTGAGTAACAGATACACGTGATTTTGAACCAGACTCTGCCATTCATATGTTGTAATGACAGGAGCAGAGTACTGAACAAGTCAGGGAAGGTCCGTCTTTAGCTTTAAACATCTAATGGTACCAGTTAATTTGAGCAAAAACAAAAGGAATTTTAGCAGATGGCTTTAGTCTGAAGCTAGCAGCAAAACACCTGGTGGGGACCATTTGCTACAACCTGCCAAAATAAAAAGCCTCATAAATTTTGGACATGGGATAAATAACTCTCTACTTGCGGCTGTGTACCTAAAGGTTGCTGTAATTCGATTTGCATTTTTGGATTTATGTATAAGCTGTGTTCTACTTTGCTAATAGGTGACATGCAACAAGGAGTTGATCATCAGCATTGGGTTGAAAAAAAAGCATCAAAAGAACAAAGGGCCATATAACCACAACCATTTTTTGGCACTGAACTGTTCCCCAGGGAGGCCTCATTCTCCTCCTTTTCTTGGGAAGAAACATCTTGAGATAACAGGCAGTGGAACCAGCAAGCTCTTCCTACCAACTACAACAAAAGTTCCCCAAAGTGGTCCAGTTGCTGAAGCAGCCGTTACTCTTCCAAAAGCCTGATGCTAACATACTCTGACAATCACACTAATTAGAGAAAGCTTTTTGTCAATCGTGGTCCTTAGCCGGATGGTTAATAGAGTATGCTTTTATCTTCAACGTAAAAAAGGCCTTTTTTTTAATTATGTTGTCAGATGTAATTATAGAAAACTGGGTACAAATGAGATTATGAGATCTATCCTGAGGGGCAACTTAACACAAGGAAGGTCTGTGTTCCATTCTAGCAAATAAGGTCAGCCGGAGACGTGCTTTTCCTCTCATTTTAATGAACTCTGTAGTGTTTTAAAGCATGTTTAGTAAAAGGAACAATTACTCAGTGAAATCTGCTTATAACATAATAATTGGAAATCTAAACAATAAAAATATGTTCATCTTGTCCTAGTATACTTAGCTTGAAGTAGGAAATGTTACAAACATGTAAAATGTTATAGAAAGCCATCCCTCCAGTTTAAAAGATTTTAATATTTGGTCTTAATCTCGTCAGACTGCTCTTCAGTTTTTCAAAAACTGAAACTTTACAAACAGAGCTAAACCCCACTCCAATTCCAGGACCTTACTTCATGTTATTTCTGTGCTTGTTTTTATCCTTTTACTGCGTACACGTGTATCCCAAAAACAGCATACACAAAGATTCTGTGTTTAAAAACTTTATGTAAATTTCAAATTTTATGCAAATACTTACATAGTATATGTAACCTTGTGTTACTTTTTTATACAGACATTTAGATTTATTGGCGCTCACACATGTGCATGTAATTACTTGCTAACACATGGAATTTATTCCATTTTGAATGCTGAGTAGTATTCCATCCATGTGCAAATAAACCTTTTATTTTTCTTTCCTTAAAAATTTTTCTCTTCCTCAACTCACTGTTCTATTGAACACCTTTGTGCTGTGTATTCTTGTAAACACGTGCCAGATTCCTAAAGGCAGATATCTAGAAGTGAAGTTGCAGGCTCTCATAGTATGCAAATACTCAATGTTTAAATGTTTCTAGACTGTTTTTCTGAATTACAATACCAATTTATACTCTCAAGAGTTCCTGTTTCTCCACACGTGTGACAATATTGATGTTATCAAATATCTAAATGGTGGTCATGCTGATGAGTATAACATAGTATCTCGCCGTGAGTTCCATTTGCATTTCCCTGATGCTAGCAAGATATTTTATGTTTATTGGCCTTGGAGGTCTGCTGGGAACTGTCCCATTCATATCCTTGCTATTTTGTTTCTTCACTGTTTTCTTAATAATTTGTAGCACTACATGTTTTTGTATTTGGAGTCCCAATCATTTATGGTTTTGTGTGTTGCAAATATCTTCTCTCAATCTGTGTTTTTGTTCTTAATTCCAGTCTCTTCTTTATGGCTGGTGCTTAAAAGGAAGTCCGGATATATTATTAGTGCTGGTCAGTGAGTAGTTAAGCACATGAGTCCCTGCATGAGACTGTCCAGGTTCAAATCCTGACTCTCTTACTAGTCACATGGTCTCGTACACATTTACTTGCTGTCAATATGCCTCCATTTCTTCATCTCTAAAATGGGAATAACACTGACACTGACAGTGGTGAGAACTAGATGAATTAAAACATGGAAAGCACTAAGAACAGTGCCTGGCATGTAGTAAGCACTCAAAAAATACATTACTATTCCTATTATTAACAATTATCTCAGCTCTTTCTGGTCTTTCACACACTTTTTTTTTGAAGGTTGCATTTTATTTTATTTAAGGTTTTAACATTTTTTTTTTTAGATTTATTTATTTATTATTTATACAAGCACTAGGTACAGTCAGAAGCGCGGGAGGGTGAGAGAATTCACCAGAGACAGAGCGGGGAGCAGAGCAGGCAGAAGGACCGAAGTACACTGCTGAGGGGAGCAGCGGGCGGCAGGAGAGGTCTGCGCGCCATGTGGGACCCTCCTCCAGTGGCCGGGGAGCAGCCGGGGATCGAACCGGCACTGAAGAGGCTTCGGGCAGCTTTGCAGCCCAGCGCTCAACCACTGCGCCACCGGGGAGGCCCTTTCACACACTTTTATGTGCAAGGGATAGGGGCAAGTCAAAGACACAAGGAACACTCCCAGAATGTGGGGTGTTCAACAAAACAATGCTCATCTCCTAAAAAGTCAATGTCATGGGGAAAAGCTGCAGGTTGTTACAGTTCATTAATAGAGACTAAAGAGGTGTGCCTTACTGGACTCTGGCTGGGAAAAAAATCTATAAAAGTCATTTTGGAAACAACTGGAGAAGTGGATATAAGATTATAGAGTGCAGTTACTATATAATTTTTCTAGGTAATAATGGTATTGTGATTATGTAGAAGAGTGCCCTTAGTCATAGGAAGAATATACTAAAGTATTTGGTATCTATAGCTTAGTGTCAAATGGTATAGCTAAAACAAAACGCATAGATGATAAACATTCCAAATCGTGGCAAAATATTAACAATTTTAAATTTGCTTGGCTCATGGTGTTCATTTCAGTTTTCTTTCAAGTTTCCTGTATTTTACTACTTATATAACAAAAAATAGTGAAATATAGTTACATTAACTTTATGGACTGATTTGTGGAAACATGTCATTTACATAATATCTAAAAACTGCAGAGCTTGTCATTTATTAAAATCTTCCTTTATGACCTTCAATAAAGTTTTATAATTTTCTCTGTAAAGGTTTTTCACAATTTGTTAGATTCCTTCACCATGTCTGAGGATTGTGCTGCTTTTGTAAATGGTGTCTCTTTTTAGTTGTCTTTTTACATAACCCTTGCACACTAAATACCAGTGGGCCTCCCTCCCTGGCCACCTGTCAAGCCAAACACACCCCACATCATTTCTAAATGCCCTCCAAATGCCCTTGCCCCAGATCAAGAACTAACAAGGTAGTGTTAACTAACAGTGGATCTGAACCTATTGATGGCAACTTGCCTGGCCTTTCCCCAAAAAAACTCTCTAGTGAAGACCTACACACTCTTCCAGCAGAATCAGGCATATTTAAGACAATAAAGTTTATAAAGAAACAGGTGACTAAAGAGAAGAGGCAATGGAAACAAACTGGAAATGTTCACTGAATTGGGCAAATACAAATAGCTGTTGCCCAAGCTGCCTAATAAACCAGAAGATATAAACCTATAAAAATAGTCATTTAAATACCCTTTCCAAAGACGACACTACCACCAAGAAATAATCAGAGCCCTAAGGCATTTTTGGAGACCCTGCACACTCCCTATTCTTCCCTGGAGCTGCATCTGGGTCTGGGCTGCTCATCTGCAAAGGACCTTCCACTGTATGTCTCATGATACCAATAATTAAGAAATTGACAGAGTAGAAGATTTCTTGCTTCCTCAAATTGTAAATATGTATTTTCTAAATAAAATCACTGCTTTTGATCTACAATTATGGTCATTATCTTGCTGAGAAACAAATTAATTTGTGAAGCCAGCTGTGAGGGGTCTTCCCACATGCCAAGATTCACTGGCACAAAACCCACCTGAAGAGCTAAAGAACATGAAAGTGCAGGTTTTACCAATCACTCAGGATATGCTTTTAGAAAAAACTAAAAAAGTCCCTAAACCAACAGAAATGTAGCAAGAATTAGCAGCACATACAGTTTCCCGTGCTGGCTGATTCTGAGTTGACACTGTTCAGCCAAATAGCACCTCGACTGAGATTTCTCTGCTCCCTTCCAAAAGGTTTGCACTAAACATCTTTCCATAAAAGGTGCCAACTACAGTTTGCTGAAAAGAAAGGCATAAACAAGTATTTAGCCTAAGTTTAGGAGCAGAAAGAAGAAGCAGATGAAAACATGCCAATGGGAGCGACTTACTGGACAAAAGTAGGTGTTCTCCACGATGTGATGGGCCACCACGCTGTTCTCAGCAGAGAGAGACATGATGAAGAGCAAAGCATCCCGGGCTTGCTGGCCAACAGTCCCCTCTCGGTGAATGAAGGGAATGAGAAGGGAGAAGATGAGGAAGTTGGCAGCCCCTTGGTCCTCACTAGTGTGAAAGAAGAGTTCCAAAATGGATGGATCTTTGGCAAGGATGGAACAGAGCTGATTGAGCAGGACAACCAGCTTCCCCTCCACGGTGGGGGTGGTTGTTCCGGAACAAGAGCTCAGCAACATCATCAGGGGCTTCAGGATGGGCTTGTGGTGCAGCAGAGGCTGGTGGGACTGGGTGACCAACATTTCATACATCTTTAGCTGCTCGATTTTAGTCTCATCAGTAAATTCCCGCCTTAGGCTCCAAAGGAAGAGTTTCTCCATGATGTTCTCACAGACCACAAATTCCAGAATAGGTCCCATTGCAGCATCTTTGGCTTGCTCTTCAATCAGCAAGAAGAGCATGTGTTCTACATAATTCTGCACCGCACTGGCCTCATCTGGAGGGATGGCTCCATATTTCGCCTGGGTGTTCTTCAAGGGGTCATGCTTCTCTAAGATTTTCACAACCTGTAACCAAGTTAAACATCTGTCATCCATTGGATGTTAATCATATTACAAAAACACACCACTGCTGATTGTACCACATCTTTGCAGAAAATGCGGGGGTCATGACTCATAAGAAGATATATCTCTCACGAGAATAAAATGAAGGGTTAAACTCCAGAAAGAAGATGTTTGAAAACATTCCTTATAGTACTCATATGAGTTTTCACAACTTAAATGTCAAAGAAAGTAGTATGGTTGTGTAAATTATGCTACATGCATTCATGGGTCTATTGTAATGAGACTATTGAACAAAATGACAGAAAAAATTAATACATCCCTACAAACAAACGCAATACAACTTAAACACCAACCCCTTGATTCTTACAACAAAATAGTGGTTACCAGAGGGAAGGCATAGGAAGATGGAAGGAATAGGAAGAGAGGGTCAGTTTGATAGTGACGATTGATACAAGTATTTTGGTGATAGGTAAGGTAGGCTACATACATCTATCAAGGTGTGAAGCTGTACACCTGAAACTTACAGAGTAGTGTAAAAACAATGGTCCATCAATCCCTAATTAGGTCATATGAGAGCTCTGACATGTCTCTCTCTTACCTTGCTGGCATGTGAATGCTTCCTACCTCTTTCTACCTCTCTCTGCCCATAAACGCTTACTTTCACTTTGGAGCCTGGAAATTAAAACCATTTTATATCTCAACCTTCATTTAACTGTATGACTCGGAATGTCTATAATACCATTCATTCAACTGACTTCCTTTGTTCCTTGTTGCCTTTGTTCATCTTTGTTCCTTGTTGCCTTCCTGAGCTGCATGATATATGGCATATGTTTGTCTTGTGCAGTAAGTGCACGCTTAGACCAGTTTACAATATGCTGTTACATGTTCTGGATTTAGATTACACAATTTTGCAAGTCACTGGGGAAGCTGGCAAAGGTATAATGCTATGTCAGCATACATGAGCAATGAGGGAAATTCATTTCTCAGAGAAAGGCCTAAGTTTTTCCCCCTGTCAGAAGTAGGGCAAAAGAACCTTTATAGATTAGGCAAGTAAATTCTTATAGAATGAACAGATTTCTACAGAAGCTATAATTTCAATCAACTTCCATTACAAAATTCATAATGCTGTCATGGGCGGGGGGGAGGGGAATCACCCCAACACCCTTGAGATGGTATTTTCAATGAGGAAGGCCTTCAGTTAGCAGCTGCTCACAAGGTGAAAGGTTCAGTAACGGGTGGCCCCAGTGAACCCTTTCCTTCCCTGCATGCTGGAATCCAGAGTGCACCTTACCCTCCCCCCAACCTCCAAGAAACCCTCCAAAAATTCCTCGCCTAGCTGCAGACCATTCGGACAGAAATGGATGAAAATGTGGGGACCCTTCCCCTTTGCTCTGGCCTTGACACCTCACAGAACGGCAGCACAGCACCACACTTCTCCAAAAGGGGGCTCCACCTCAACACAGCATGTTTTCCGTCCCAAAGTCCTAACTTTCAGCTCTACATTCTAAAGAACAAATTAGCTACAGACTTTATCAGTTCCATAATTTCAAAGTCCACATATTGAGTTTACTTATGAGAGCTATCTTTATAGCTAGGCTTCGGGGTAGAAATGTAATTATACTTCTCATGTGTGCTCAGACTCTAAAACTGGGACTGTGCCTTATACATTGATAGTCATAAAGCAAATTAGTTCAATCTTTCTAGAAAACAACTGGCAATATGTAACAGAAGCTATAAAGAGGTTCCTGCCCTTTGACTTGTTAATCTCACTTTGGGGAAAATGCTCCAAAGAAACAACCCAAAACAATTTGTTAAAAAATTTTCACACCACAGTATTTTCAATAATTAAAAATAAAAATATCATATCATTGACCCAGAAAGTCACAAATTAGAGAATTACAATCAAAATATGGTACATCACCATATAATGTTACCAAGAATAAATGCCAAGTAGATTATATCACTAATGTTATTGTACACATGAAATAATTTAAGTTAAATAGCAAACATATTGACAAAGAGATGCACAATTAGAAGTGAGTCTAATGAAATATGAGATTTTTAAGGTTAGTTCTTTGCCGTAATTGATCTAATTTCATAATACAAATTAAAAGTAGACAAAGTAATTTTATACTCATGTCTAAATAAGAAACCAAAGCTCCAAGTTAAAAACAATAATTGGAAATCTCATTCTCAGAAATTTCTAAGCCATATAAACTTACATATTTGCATATATATTTATAGTACATACATGCATAAAATATTACATATCTAGATTTATTGTTTACTTAATTAAACAAGCAGGTCATTAGACTGAGGTGGCTCTAATGCTTAAGTAAACCCAAATCACAATCTATAAATCTTCAAGGTTACAAAATCGAAAGCTAGGACGACCAATCACAAACCAGCTAAAGCCAATCAATCATTTTCTTGCTTTACTTCAGTCTTTGTAAAATCTCTCCAAGCTCCTATAGGTGAAAAATCCCTAACCACGTCCAGTTTGGCACTGCCTGATTTGAATAGAATTTTTTGCTCAAATAAACTCTTAGAATTTTCAGTATGCCTGTTTGAACAGTGCATAGGCAATATGCAGCAAAACTCTATGACCACAGTTACATTTTTCTCATGAACTAACCGTCATTTATATTATTTGCGCCAATACATCCCTTTACAAACAAAATACTTTCTTTTCACTATGAAAAAAATCAGAAAAAGAGTTGCCATGTTTATACAGAATACAAACTATTTAGCAGCTTTTCCATTTAAGCATCTCCACTGCCTTTCAGTAGTTCCTTTACATGCCTCTGGGCTAAGGGACAGAGCAACATGACAACAGAGCTCTGACCCCACAGAGACACAGGCTGTTGATCCTCTGAGATGGAGCAGAATTAGCGCGCTTTCCTCACTGCGGGCAGGAAGATGGGTGTGCTGCGGCCAAGGCCGGTGAGTCACACAATGCGCTGCTCGGAAAAGTGCTGACTACGCCTGTGTTGCCACATGCCTTAACCTCGCTCTTCAGGTGTCAGGACGCTCCCAGGTCACCTCCCTTTCCCTTCCGGCAGACACACCCATGACCTGCTTTTTTGCAAGTGGACACTGGGAGCCCACACCCTGGTCCCTCCTGAGAGGGAATGCCTATGAAGCTTCTTGGTCAGAGCACAGCATGCGTTGAAATGCCAAAGAATTTCCGTTCCGATGTCCTAAGTTTGCTGCCCAGACGGTGTCATAGTTCTTTCGGTTTCCACAAACTGGTTCCTGGTATGACCTGGACTTTTCCTTGTCTCCCTGTTGGGCCCTTGTCTCACATTTCTCCAAACTCCAATACTCCCACATTCCTGCTTCTGCTCCCTGCCCATTCTCACCTTCTACCAGCTCTGACCTTCCTGTCCTATGGATCCCTGACCCACGGTGCTCACAATGGCTTCCCTAAGCCTGAGAGCACCTCTGTCTTAGTCTCTCAACCTTGCCTCAGTTTTCCACCCCCTGCTTCTTCTCAGTTATACACTCTCTGTCTCAGGAGTACAGTTCAGGAAAACACACACACACACATTCACTCACAAAAAAGGAAGATTAGAGAGGTCCAAGTAGGGAAAAGAATAAAAGCAAGAAAAATATACTTTGCAAATATTTCCTCTACTAAACAAGTTCACTTTGTTAGGCAAAAAATATCATTTACTGATCTAATCCATCCTGATAAAGCCCACACTAAGTAAACCAGTTGAAATCAGAAACAACACTGTGAATGTTTGGCTGACCTCAGCATTTGGTGACCTACAAACTTTAATAAATATAGGTGTGTGTGTGTGTGTGAGAGAGAGAGAGAGAATCCTGAGCCCAGAGCACATATAGATCCACGTGTAAATTATCAGAATTCTAAAAAGAAACAAATACATTAAAAATCAATAGTATGAAAGCCGTATACAAATTAGTATGTTATCAATACAGCTAAATTTTAACCTAACTTCAAAGTCACATGACCTAAAAACATGAGGATAATAGGGGACAAATCAATGAACCAACAGTATGTGTCTCTCACTAAGACACTATCCTTAGGGACCCTGTCCTTCCATGAACTATGGTGACCATCAGCCAGTGATAATGGGCCTGCAATTCAAACATTCACAAATGCTAAAGAAGCATAATGCTTTCAGAAGGAAAAATTCTACATAAATCACATAATCACAACTCAAGGTAACAAATGACTCTTCATGGTAAGCACAAGTATTTCTCCGTCAGGAGACTAGCTTCAACTCCATCTTAAAAAAAAAAAAAATTCTACGTCTTAAGTACATGTGTGTAACAATAGATGATCATTTGTGCTCCCTTGGCGAGAGCCTAGTTACTTTAAGAGTCACATGAGTTCATCCATAATTCCAAATACCTTAGAATGCTAATTTAAAGTGGCCTCGTGGAGAAAAAAAAAAAAGTAACTAAGCAACGGTTTTCCATCACACAGAAAAAGGACAGGATTTAGCAATCTTCAGCCAAATTCCACTTAATGTACAAAAAAACTACAGCAAGAGTCTCCATGCAATGCTTGCTCATTGCCTAACAGGCCTGTGTCTTTCAACTTGGGATGTCCTCGCACACCATCCCTAAAGGAGACTTAGTTACTGAGTCCTGTCTTCTTACATTAAGATAACAGCCTAGGGGGCCTCACTGGTGTGGTGCAGGGGGTTAAAACACAACCTATGAAGCTGTCCGCAGCCTCTGCAGCACGAGTTCGATCCCTGGCTGGCCAGGGAGCAACCCACATGGCGCAGCAGACCTCTCCTGACTCGTCCGCTGCTCCCCTCAGCAGTGTACTTCAGTCGATCTGCCTGTTCTGTGTTCCCCACTCTGTCTCTGGTGAATCCTCTCACCCCCCACACTGCTGATCTGTACCCCAGTTCTTGTATGCATAAATAAATAAATCTTTAAAAAAAAAGATAACAGCCTAATCATATATGTGCACTTGCACAAGTGGGTTGATGCCAGCCCTAGTTCTGAACTCCAGAGACTTA